GTATTATATAAAGGTACAATTCCCCATGAGAAATGTAATTGTGTTGTATACCTACAATGTACCAATAAAAGAATTTAATACAAAAAAAAAATCAAAGGGGTGGTATCCCAGTATGGGGAAAAAGAGATAAAAAGAGATGTGTCTATGCCTCACTAGAGAAAGAAGTAGGCACTACATTTTCGTGAAAATCTCAGTGTCTCACTAAAGCAAATATTGTAGATGCCCTCCCCAGACCCTCAGCATGTCTTTTGCCAGCTGCTGTAGGTACCACTGCAGGTAACAATACTTCACAATGTAACTTTCTTTGAAGGTGGGCCCTTAAGGAATTGGACCCTCACCAGAGGTACCTTAGGGTTACAATGAACACTCTCCTACTCCAGGACTGCCACCACACATCAAAGCAGCTTACAACCAATAATTAACTAATACAAGGGTGCAAAGACCCCTCCCCTGCCTTATAGCAGGACAATGGGCCTGCCAGACCTCCCCTTTAGGTTCAGGCTGAGGCTAAACTTCACCTGAAATTACATTCCTACTTAGCTTCTCCCCTTTCTCTATCCTGCTTCCCTTGGTCCCTCTCAGATTTCTCCAGAGAACACACCCTCATTCTATTACTTGCATAAGCATCCTTGTCAGGATCTGCTTCTAGGAAACCTGACCTAACACACTCCTTACTCCTTCTGGTATTCAGCTGACAAATATTGTTTGGGCAATAAGTAAAGAAAAAACTGAACACTTCCATATAAGTATATGCTAAAGACAATGAAGCAGGACATGGAAATGCAGATTGACTTGGACACTTCTACTTTAGACTGGGCGGTAAGGAAGGCTTCTCTGCTGAAGGGATGTTTGAGCAGAGAAATATCCAGCTGAGTTGAGCTGAAGGGCAGAGCCATATTAAATCAAGGGGTATGGCCTTCTAAGCAAATGAAATGGAAACAAAGATTAAAGGGTTGGTGGGAGTGAGGTGGACGCAAGAGAGAGTAATTCTTTATGTTTGGGTGGAGCACTGTGAACAGGATGATGTTTAATGTCCTTGTGCTTATTTGGGTTTGGTTTCAGAGATTTCCTTTTTAAGTGTATAGACAGTTCAGAAGTTGTTTTGGCCTCTGTTTGTGGGGAAACCCACATAGTAATTCCGCTTCGTGAGAGAACAGGAGAGGCTCTGGGACTCCTCGATGTTAACATTGGCCACACCAGAATGTTGTTACACTAAGAATATAAAGATCTGCAGAAAATGATGAAGATGATCCATGCAGCCTGATTCTGAAATACTAGGTGAATTCTCTGGAGAGATGAAGAAAAACATTATCTTAGGTACAATTAACGTGGTAACAGTCTGGGTTCATGGGTTTAATAGGTTTTCAGGAAATCACAGGCAATGTGAGGAAGGATTCCTTTTCTAACATGAATTATTTTGGTATATAGATCTTTCCATGTGAAAAGAATTCCCCTATGCAGTCTTAGCCTTATGCATATGGTCTATAAGCTAAAGCAAAGGACATGGAATCATATTATCTTGGTTAGAACCATATAGTTTTAGAACTGTAAGGACTCATAAAGGCAAGATAGAACTAGCATTATTAAATGCCCCATCATGGTTTAAACACTTTAAGTATGTCCTTTCATTTAATCCTTATAATCTTATGATCTAAATGGTGATACACCCATTTTACAGGTAAGGAGAGTGAGGTTCAGAGAAAGCAAACAAGAAATGGTGAAGGCTAGATTTAAACCCAGGTTTTGAGGCACTTTCCATTACACAGCATTAACCAGTCAGAACATCTGATCTTATGGATACAGGAGTTAAAACCCAAAAGTAAAATGGATTTTCCAAGGTCCAATAGCAAGCTAGTGACAGAGCCAAGACCAGATCTCAGTTCTTGTGACTCCATATCTACTAGGCTACTACTAGCATAATACCAGCTTGGAGAGGGGGGTAAGAAGAAGGAGGCATAGAAACTCATGGTTAGAATGAAGTGGAAAGAATTAAAGTAACAGTATTTGACATTAAGCAGGCCAGTTTCTAACCATTATGTAGAATGGGATAAGAAAGAGGAAAACTAGGCATGGTGGTAGTCTCCTGTTGTCCCATCTATTCAAGAGGCTAAGACAAGAGGGTCACTTGAGCCCAAGAGTTTGAAGCCAACCTGGGCGACATAGTAAGACCCTGTCTCTGAAGGAGGAGGAGGGGGAGGAGAAAGAAAGGGGAGGAGAAGAAGAGAAGGAGGAAGAGGGAGAAAAGAGGAGCAGAGGAGGAAGGAAAGAAGGAGCAAGAGGAAAAGGAAGAAGAAAACTCCTGAGTTTCACTATATATAAAGCCTAAGATTATATGCTTTTATGTATATCATGTTTTATGTATATCATCTCATTTAATTCCCATAGCTCACCAGAGAAGTAAGGATTAGCCCCATTCTCACAAAAAAAGGAAAAAGATATTTTAAAAAGCAGAGTAAGTGAAAGAGTATGTTTTAAACTAACCCTAAAAGCCAAGTTTTTGTCTTTTCTCAAAGCTTCTTTCCTATGACCTGCATTTCTCTCTTTCGATTTTATTGCCAAAGAAATTAAGAAATCACAGGACCTGATCTTTTTTCCTGAAGAAGAAAAATGTTTACTAGAATATGCTCAGAATCCTATATGCTCAGAATGTATATGACTGAACAACAGTGTAAGATGTTATTCTGTTATTCCAGAGATTGAAAAAGCAGGAGAAGTCCAGAGGGCAGAAATTCTCTTTTTCTGAATCATGCTGCAGGAGCTGCGGGAATGTCTCCAACTACTCAGTTCCGTGGGCTTTGTGTCACTGCTACTCTATGAACATAAACCTCAAGCAGAACCAAAGTCTCCTCAAGACAGCAAGTCCCAGGAGTTCGAAGCCAATGTAAACCTGGTACATGACATCCTGAATGGAGTTATCCTATTCTTTCATCCAGAGTTGGAATTTTCGGATGACTTAGAAAATTGGGATAAGTGTAAATTTGTACTTTTTTTAGCCACTCTTTTTGTTGAATAACAACCTATGCAAATTTACATGTATGAATTATAATGGCACAATTCATAAGTGTACAAAAGAAAGAATCTTCACATAATGAACACATGTATGTAACCTGCACCTGGGTTAAAAAAAAAACCCAGAACATTTAGTGACATTCCCAAAGTCCTCCTTTGTGCCCTTGCCCCTAAACTCCCACCACCCAACCCACACGCCCCAATGATAGCCATGATCTAGACTTCTAACATTATAGGTTGGTTTGATCTTTTTAAAATGTATATAAATGTAATCATGTGAACTGGGCACTGTATCTCTACTTGTTAGTGATTCCATAACTTTTCTTTTTGTTCTTTATTCACAGTATATTAACAAATACTTAGTGGAGCGTATTTGTGCCTTTGACCCAACTGCTAGCCATGTGAAAGTTAATTTACAGCTCATTGATAAAAACATCAGAGGTAAATTTCCATTTACTCACAGTCTAAATCAATACCAACAGAAATAGAATGCAATTGTAATTAAGATATTTTTATTAAAGCAAGTGGCTCATAAATTTTTAGGAGAAAATGTTATAATTGTAAGTTTGTAAAAATAGGGACACAATCTATAATCTATTATATTCAACAAAGACACTATCTGTGCTACACATATGAGAATTCAAAAGTGCATCTATCTCCCACTTAGTATATGTGTAATATTCATTTTTTAAAAAACTGAAGCCAGGCTTCATAGTGTGTGCCTATAGTCCCAAATATTCAGGAGACAGAGGCCAAAGGATCACTTGAGTCCAGCTGGGGATTTAGCTCAGTGGCACCTCGCCTGCCTTGCAAGCACAAGGTCCTGAGTTCAATCCCCAGTACCAAAAAAAAAAGATTACTTGAGTCCAGGAGTTTGAGACTTGCCTGGGCAAGACAATGAGACACTCAAAAGAGAAAAAGAAAGAAAGAAAGAAAGAAAGAAAGAAAGAAAGAAAGAAAGAAAGAAAGAAAGAAAGAAAGAAAGAAAGAGAGAGAGAGAAAATGCTTCAGTGAGAATAGGGACAATGAGCAAACAAGCTATTACTATCTTTAGCTTCAATTAAAAAAACCAAAGAAAATAATAGATCTACATAGTCTATATAAACTAATAATACAGACCTTTTGGAAGAGAAGAATCATTAGGACAGCAGAGGAGTGAGGCTCTCAGGCTGGAGAAGGTGACACTTCTTTGGCCTCAGAGAGTAGGTCACATGCAAAAGTAAATATACAAATACAAGCTCATATTCCTCCACTAGTTTGTATTCCCCCACTAGACACCTCAGGCTATATATGTGAGTGAGCCAGTAAGAAATCCATTTAAAGTTTGATTCTACTTTCTTATGAAAAGCTAATCCTGGGCCGGGGATTTAGCTCAGTGGTTCCACTGCCTGCCTCGAAAGCTAAAGGTTCCGAGTTTGATCCCTGGCACCAAAAACAAACAAACAAACAAACAAAAAAACTAATTTCCTTAATTGGAAAAATTAGTAATTGCTTCCCAGCCCTATACCTCTCCTTCCTCTCCCCTTCTTTGTGGAGACTCCAGACCTAGTCAGATGGTTTCTGCATTTCTCTAATACATATATACAAGGCCAAGAGAAACACCTAGGAAAGAAAAGGCAACCCAGAGGTAGCCAGCCACATTCCTCAGGCAGTGGACTTATGTCACATGGGGCAGGGGGGTGGAACTGTGATGGACATAAGATGGACATGGAGGTAGATGGACAGAAGAGAGATCATTCCAGAAGTTTGGGACTGTTAGAGAACAGGAGAGAACATGAGATTCACATAAATATTAAAATGAGTTAATGTGGAGCATGACTGATGTGAATCAAGTTAAGAATTCCTATTTGGAATAGGGCTTCCACTATAGTCTTATGCTCTGAATTCATTCATGGAAGCCTCTGGATTCATAGGTGTTACAGGTATAACTTCTAAAGTGCTAGTAGAAGGAATCAAAAAACAACTCCAACAACAAAAATGAATACTTGTTCACTATATACTTTGGAAGTGGTGCTTGGAATGAAACCCATGACCTTTACACAGAGCCACATCCCCAGATCTTTATTCTACCCTACGATGAACTATCCTAGTTGATTCCTGAGCAGCCTGAATGTACAACGTTCCCGACCATTTTCTGCTTTCCAATAGTCCCCTCATGTGGCAGGAATTATAACTGCAATTAGCAGAGCAGGCATCAGCCCTCAACTAGTAACACAAACTCCCCTGTCACCACCACCAAACCTTTAGCATTATCACAGTCTCTGAAGCAATTAAAAAAGCTCATAGGCCACCCAGATACAAATCTTCTCTTCCTCAGATGCAATTATATCAGGAAATTCTAAACTCCCGGGGTAGGAGAAAGGAGAGGAACTCTTTGGGGGCAATGTTCCATTTATGCCAGGAGGAAAATCTCCTAGCAGGGCAATCTATTATTGCTCAAAGTTTATGTGGCCTTCTAGCAGCTTTAACTAAGGCACCTAATCAATGGCCCCCCCAAAGCATGAAATTACATCAACAATGTCTGTAGGTTCAGCCTAGACTGGGGACAAACTGCTGTGCTGAGTAGCAGAGCTCCCAGCCCACCACACCTCCTAAACTAATGATTTTTTACCAAAAGGATAGAATTAAGGCTGGTGATATGTTAGACTGTCTTAGAGTTTCTGCTCCCAGCTCTCATCCCTTTCACCCTAGTTTGAGGGAGGGGTATTTTACATTCTGGTGGAACTCTAGTGACCCTGGCCTGCCTTTAGATTGAGCCAATCATCTATAATGTAGCACTGAGCAGCTCTGTTCAGCAGGCCTGGCTTGCCAAGACTGCTCCATTGCATATAAATGCTGTTGACATACCCCCCAGCTGGTGGGGGTTACGACTCCAGTGACCACTTGCAGATAGCTGGGTGGATAGCTGTGTATTCAGTAGTACATCAATAGCTGTTACCCTGTGTCACTCTGCTTCAGGTACTCCTAGTAGTTGGTCTCTCCTACCTGGAGATGCAAGACCCGCCCACCTCCTTGAGGCTGTTCTCCACACTCCACTTTGGTACTGGGGATCAAACTCTGAACCTTGTGCTTGCAAGGCAGGCGCTGGAACCACTGAGCTAATTCCCCACCCCCACCCTGCCACTTTGGATCTCTGTTGCCAGCCTTACCTGGTCCTTCTGTAGGGTCCCCAGACCTGTTCAGGAGGTTTGAACAGATGTTGCCTGATGAGAAATCTTCTCAAACCTAGATGCAAGAAGAGCTATCTCCCATTGTATGACAAGAATCTCTGATGTGTTAGAACCTGTGTTCCGGCCAAGTGGCCATACCTTTTTCCCAAGCCTAAATTCAAGCATGTCCAAGTCCACAGACCCTAATGGGACAGGAGTGCCCCAGGCTCTCTACTTCTTCTACAGGAGTCCCAAGGCTTCTCCTCAGCCAAAACAGTCAGAGCCTTGATGCTATCACCATCAGTAAAGAAATTCACAGTTTTCATCAATAAAGCACCAGAATGATCTTCTAAAAGTGACTGAAGGGAGATTTATTGGCAACAAGGGAGGAATTACTGGGTTCACAGTCCTAATTAACTCTCGTCCAAGAGTCTCCTTCCTTGGGAGATTTTTTCCTAATCGCTACTGCCACCACCATGGTGGCACTAGTGGGTGCTACTCTCTACAAAAAGTGAGACACAATTCTTTGGTTCACTCTCCACTGCACAACTGAGGACCAAACAGGAACCCTTCATAAAATCCTACCAATCATCCAGAAATAACAAACAGGAATACAGAAGCTGGGCGTGGTAGTGATGCCTGTAACCTTGGCACTCTGGGAGGCTGAGGCTGGAGGATCTGAAGTTCCAGCCTAGCCTGGGCAACCTAGCAAGATCCTGTTTCAAAAAATAAAAAGATGACAAATAGCAATGCAGTGCTTGGACTGAATCTGTAACTCTGAGTATGTGCCTGATTCTTTAAATGGGTCAGTGTAAAATGGAGAAGTACATTGTTCTATACAATATTGTTGTTCCAGTATATTGTTCTATATTATTAATTGAACATATTACTAACATTGACTTAGATCAAGTTACAGGTTTCTGTCATCTTTTTTTAACCTAGTAGTCCTGAGTGGTGGCTCCTTTTGGAATCATTGCTTCCTCCTTGTAGGGAAAGAGCTGCCTTCTACCAACTGGACCTGTTTTTAACAAAGAGCCTAGAGTGTGCCATTTATAAGTTGCTCACAGGTTTCACACTATGGAAGAGGAAATATCATGTGAAAGAGGAATCCTTAGAACAGATTCCCTTTGTCCTGGCAAGAACCTCTTAAAGGTCCCTTTAAGCTATTAGCCAACTACTCACACATCATTAAGGAAAAAAGTATAATAGGCTATTCTGGGGTTTGGGAAATACCTGGCACCTGGATGCTTGACTCCCCGTGCAGATCCTTTCCATTTTCAGTTCCAGGTTATTCAGAGGGAAAAAAAATCAAAGCAGCAACTATCTTTCTGTTCCTTATCACTCCTTTTGATTTTAAATTTTGAAGTTTTTCCAACTTCCAAAGAAGAAACAGCTAAAAATCGTTTTAACTTGTCTAGGTAATAACACTACTATTTTGATTTCTGATTAAAGCCTTTTAAAATTAGTTCAATGAGAATATTTTTCTATTTAACTTGAAATTCATTTTTTCATTTTAGTGAATGTTAATCTATCTCAAAAAGATTTTTAAATTATGTATTTTTATTAAAGTACATTAAATGGTCAAATAAAACTAAAAATATTTTAAAAGTCACTAGTCTATCCATTCTTATTCTCCCCAGATAGCCTCACAAGAGGCAAAATTTTTACTGTTACAGTTTCTTATGAGATTTGCACATCCACTTCGAATATTATACACATAGTGCTGTCTTTTGAGTTTTAAACCTTACTAATTGATTTCCTCTTGTTCTAGATGAGGGTTTACTTCTGTCACATTCATGTCTTACCCCATCCTTCCAATATAGTTATATTATAATTTGGGGTTAAATTAAAATGTTTGTATTATTTCACCTATGCAAATATTATCTGCAGCTGAACACTGAAGTATATTTTAATCTTCATTTTTACTTTTTAAATTCATAATTGCCTTTTACTTTAAAATGTCTTCAATTTCTTTGTACTTCTTGATAATTCCCACCTCTTTCCTTTTTCTCTCCATATAATGTCCCATAGGGCCAATCTTATCAATTTTGGGGTTTTTGTTTTGTTTTGTCTATGTTTTTATACTGGGGGTTGAACCAGGGCCTACACACTGAGCTACATCCTCAGTCGTTAAGTTGCCAAGTTCCCCAGGCTGGGTTGGAATTTGCAATCCTCCTTGCCTCCGCTCCCCAGGGTGCTAGGATTACAAACATGCATTATCAGCTAACATTTTTTAGTTCCAATTTATTTTTTTCTCAAAACCATCCCTTCCATAGAGCGCACTTTTTTCCC